CCAGCTACAGAAACTCCCTGCACCACAGTTCGTCAAATGACGTCGTTTCGGGATGATACCATAACTATTCCGTAACACCATATTTTAATTAACCAAGAAAAGCAGAGTAATGCACTTGTATCCGCTTACCAGTTACTCCATTCAGATTACAACCATTACGTTGTATCTGCGGTATCTGCACGCTCTTGTCAAACAGAAGTGATCAAACATTGATTGAAAGTCAGGACCAACAAAAAAAAAACAAGTTGCCAAGACAGCGGATAATTTTCCTCGCACACACAGGCGTACAATTGTTTTACTCCAATTCCAGTCGCTAAACGGACCGTAAAATTGCGTTTTGTGTCGGTGGTGGTGAGTGGGTGGACGGGTGCGAGTGGGATGCCAAATGAAGAATCATCCTCATCACCAAAATCGATCATAGCTGGCCGTAAAATGTTTGAGGCAGACATAACGAAGATAACTCACTTTTAGCCATCGGTTTGGGATTGCGTTCAATAGACAGGCCATGGCAATCATAAACAGACTGGCGATACGGACGTTTGTGAAATATAAGTCGCGATTAAGCCAAACCATTTGGAAGACTGCGTAGAACGATAAGGGGGGGGGGTAGTGGTCAATTTGTGAATTAGTCTGAGTCTATATTTGACGGATAATTATGATGCCGTGTTTCGAAGGAAAAGAACTCCAAGGGGAAGAGCACATCAGTGCTGCTAAATAAATAAATAAACGACCATCAGAATAGATATGAGTTACTGCACAACTACGGTTTAGTCACATTGTAGCCTCTGCTTAGGCAGACAAAAGATAAGCAAGAGAATATAATCAAGAGGATATTATTATTCCGTTGTTAGAACATGAATTATAAGCAGATAAGCGTGAGTTTACAAGTCCACTGGTATGCTTTCGCGTCTGCCTACACTTGTGCATTGTGTAAATTAGAATTTTGATTGAAAAGCAAAAATGCTAGTATGTCGGTTGAGCAGTTCATGGATCTTATCACCATTAACACCATTACATGCAAAGATCAATTATAAGGGATAACATTGACATTGTATAACACAAAATATGGCCATATCTTTAATTCGAGAATAAAAAGATGCGGAAAATTTGCTTTTCTGATTATCTTTTGTGGTTTATCAGTCACATCGACTTTGAAGATAGTCGTGTGAATGACCGCTTTGTTACCAGCCTCTTGTTTTCTCGTAATGACTGACTTTCCGTTATAAGCTTGTCGGCTTGTGCTGAATTGTTTCAGGTTTATCTTCGATTAGTTCTTCAATAAAGGTTCCATAGATCCTGGATCTCAGATACGAGGTTATATTGTTACCAGAAAAAAAACCCGAGGAACCGTCTGAATTCGGTTTATGGTAGGCACAAAATGTATTCTTTGTCGACCTAGTTCAGTAATTGTACATTTTGCTAAAATGTATGGTTTTATTCACATTTTGAAGGCTTATTGTTGGTGCTACAGTGGGTTGGTTGAGACATATTTGCATGCGAAAGATCACATGCAGTTTATTCCTGTGTAGTTTGTGAAAGCCAATTCCGGTATATATTGATGGTTTCAATAGCAGGTTCGGTATTAATTTCTATTTCTTTGGTGGATATCAGTTTTTGAATTTTGATGGTTTAGGCATTGATGAGTTTTAAAACCCTGGCTAACAAAATGACTCCGATGAGATAAATGCCGGTGTCCGAAATAACTCTATGCGTGTCCCTGTCAGGTGTTTCAAAACATTTGTGCACGGGACGCTGTATTTTGTTATTTTTTCGGAATCCTCTCATCATGAGCGAGTTTCAGTAATTTGCTAGTTTGTTAGTTAATAGCACTACTCTACTCAGAAATTAGCTGGCAAACAAACATTTCACGGTCTGATCGATGAATAGGTTCACTAATGATATTTTGAATATTTCAATTTAGACCGAAGTTAATTTTGAGCATATCTGCAAAATAAGTCAGTCAGGCGGTGATTAGTAACGACGGCGGACATGACCTGATGGGATTGTTTGAATAGCATTTTCACAGATTGAGTGCTGCAAGGAAATACAATTTATTCACTATGTATATCCTAATGTGAAATTTGACCCAATGAAAAATTGAAAATGTCGGCCAGTTCTGTTATGACCCGTTTGACGCAGTTTTAACACACACATACACACACACCAATGATTCTTTATTCAAATCACAAACGAGAAACTTGATGTTTACTACTAGTAAGATCTCGAGGACAAAATTGACTGCAGTAATTGAATGATAACTAATAACGATTAAATAGTTAAATATTGGATTAGGCGCGGAACTCTGTAGTTTGACGGAATTTATAGTTAACATACTGATCAGATGTCTCAGTTTACAAGTTCAGCTTGATGGCCTCACTTTCATATCTGTGTTCGTGATAACATGCATACAGATGAAAGCATTATTTCTATAAGCGCTGATGATACCCATTATCCGGTCTTCAGAAGATCTCCGAACAACGAACAAACATCAAACGATCGCAATCAATCACGAACACAACGAAAGTTCTACTGCTAACACACCGAATTGTATTGTATTGTGTTTAACCCTTGCAAATACTGGAGCTCACATTTCAGTTGAAAAAAGAATAACGCGTTCAGCCGTTACTGCTGGAGAATAAGAGTAAACTATCCCGGTTGAAAAATCAATAAATGGGTTTTGTTATAAGTATTAGAAAGCCGTATGTGTATAATGCTGAATAGTTGGCTCCACCCAACATTTCTCTGTAATGTTTTGGTTAGATATCTTTAAATCCGGTGTAAGTTTGCATCAGACCAACATCATCAACCCCGGCTCTCATATGGATCTGAACTTTGCGTTCGTAAAATGGAACCTGTAGAAGATAATGCGTCTGAAGGATTTGAAATGATGTCAGCATGGCTCTAAGCAGAAAGGATGAAGAAAACCACATTGTGATCAAACGATCAAACTTAAAAAATTAACCGGGAGCAAATGTTATATTATTCCAGAATCTCTCTAGGTGGAAGGCCTATTATTACCAGAACAAAATGCGTGGATGGTATTGAACTCTCTTCCACGTGGAATTACGCACATCACCGGGAAACCGCAGATATTTTCAATGGGGTCGAAATCGAGACTTCAGGTTGGCCACTAACGTGATATTGATGTACCGGTACAATGATCACATTGCACAGGTATCAAGCTTTATATTGAGTGATCTTTCAGTTCCTTTTTCTGGACTATTGAGAGAACGACAGGGGACTAAATTCTTGATGCGAGGATCAGTTATTTGTTTGCACTCGAGAAGTATCAGTCGTGGTTGGACGTACGAATTAGTACAGTAGCACCGGAGGATGCTTGTGAAACAGCCGTCAAACGTGCATGAAAGTCCATTTTCTGTTAATAAAACGTTCAGAGTAGCAATTTGGAAAGATGATGTGCGTTTATTTTGGTTTCAAACCACATGTACCGAGAAATATGACCCCGAACACATCGTTGATCACCGCACAGACTAACTATTTGTTTGCTTCATTTAATAAAATATGGCATGCAGTTATTCGTCTGAACCTTTTGGCCAGATGCTTAGGGCAATTAAAGTTTGCAGGTTCGTACTAGCTTTTGCTGCAGGATTAATCTCATTTTACCCAGTATTCATTTTTCTCTGGAAGAGTGCCTGATTTGGAGTAACCACAAGATGAATGTACAATAATTTTCATGAGCCAATCCATACAATTGCGGAACGTTGCTCAACTCTAGGCATTGATACCAGTAATGCATCTTATTGCACCCGTTTTAGATACGTTGAGGTTAGAATGGATTTTTTGGGCAATCACTCTTCTGTTAATTGGGTTATATCGTTTGCCAACATCGGTAGTTAATTGAGAACTGTAACTAGGCATTCTATACTATTCACATTTAAAATGTGTCATACAGAGGTTCTACAAGGCACCATAAACGCAATCTATACCGTTATTAGACCTATCAACGAAAATGTTTTTTTGCAAATCCAATTAAGTGACACTATGTTGACTCACATATGCACAATGCGGGAGCAAATAACGGCTCCAATGTTCGTATCGCGCGGCTTACTTTTCGATTGCTCAAATCCATGGAAACAATGAGAACTAAAAATCAGGAAGAGTTAAACGTTTTGAAATGGGAATAAAACAGTTAAACAAAGGTTGCTGAACATTAGTGAGGATTCACAGGTCAACGAAAATCATAGTTCTGTACGCTGATGTACACGGTTAGTACTAACTTATTTCTAATCATTCCTGTTCATCCCGCAACACATTTTACACTTACCAAAACAGAAAAAATGCCTCGATCAGTGAGTAGGTAAAAATGCAACTGACCGAGGAACGACGGTTTCATTTTGGTAACACCCAAGAAAGTTAGGGTTAAACGAGAATGCTCATTGGGCAGTATTCCAGCGAAACACCGTGAATTTGGGGAATTTATATCATCAGGCCCTCTTCTACGCACATTTATCCAAGGCCATTCTGGCGTCTACATTTTATTGCACAAACTGAGGGTACTAGAAACGGATAGCAGTTTGCGCAGTCCAATAAAGTCTACAAAAGGGCTACCTTGAATAATTTCTAAGTGATCGGGCTTGATCTCTTATCCAACGAAAACCAGGTGACCTAGAAAACCAATAAAAAATGCAAATATTACTTAGCTTAGAGAAAACATTTGTGTAGTATTCTTCAGTGTTTTGGAATAAACGCCCCGTCGTGAGATACATATAGAGCGCAACACAGAGCTGTCTTAACAATCACATGAATGCTTCTGACGTCTGTCACGGAGAATCTATTTTTGTATTGCATTTATTTGCCTTCCAAAACCTCATGACCTAAAACGAAATGAAACCTTTCTGGGAATGCGCATTTATTAAGTAAAAGCAAGTAAAAAGGGTGCGTTTATTGTAAACGGTGGCGGAGATAAATTATTAAATATGAGCAAGATAGATGTCTGCGAAACATTTTTGGTCAGGATGTTGAAGCATGTTTTAGTCAAAGTATTTATTGAAACTCTTGGGAGGCAACTAAACTGAAACAGAAGGAAAAATCCTAGACGCATACGGGACTATCAATTCATGTGAGTTCTCCCCTTTCATATACTTGAATAATGATTAAGTGCCTGATGGATACTAAAACGGTGTTTAAAAGCAACAACTTAGTTTATTTAGAACGCAACTTTAATCGCTTACTGAACGTGAACCAAAATTCTTCAACCTGTTATTACACAATTTTCTAAGTAATGCAACGTTCCAAGATGTTTGAGCATCTGCGAATCAATTGATTTGGGAAGTACATTGGAGAAAAATTTAAGCAAAACATTAAATCTGTTGAAATGCATTGGAAATCGCAAAAAGCGTATATTATCAGGTCTAAATCTCAACATAGAAAACAAATGCAATAGTTGGCCTGGATTGAGTGAACAGCATAAATACCGATCATCGTCATTATCTTGAAGTTTGCCACAAAGAATATTAGTCCATAAGTTTATCGCGTAATTAACCTTCGGCCTCATCAATATTTGGAACTGACAGTGGGCCATTTCTACTCAACCAATAGCCAGCATGAGACAGATTTCTTAACCCCGGTGAGTTGTTTTCCTAGGGATGTTATAGGTTGCCAAGTGATAAAAAGGTTTATGAACAAACTGGGTGGTCATAATCTGAAGGGGATACTCGATGATGAAGATAGATCGGAATATGAGACGAACTATACATATCATCATATGTATGTCATTTGAGAAAGTTATGCTACTGGATAGATAACTGATTCCCACTCCTTGTGACGTTGCACCAACAATGTTAAGGTGTAGTTACCTTGACAATAAATGTTTGTTTTATTTGACGTTCGATTACCCCTTTCTTGGTCAACAAAATGTACACAAAACCTCTGCTTTTTTCACTCATATAAAATAAAATGCAAAGTAATTTTATGTAGGACAAAAGTAGGATCAGGTCGGAATTTTACTGCACTGGGTGCGTTGATAAGTCATTAGTGGCCGACATGAAAATCGAGTAGTTAAAATATAACAATCTCACTAGAAAGCCTATTTCAAAGTTGTATCTAAAAGACTGCTTTTTATTTCATTTAGAAGCAGACACATCTTGGCAGCATTGGTTGCTATTTCCAAGCTTCAAAGATAACTGAATGGTTCAGGGTGCACGATTGAACTGTAATGGGTTAGAGATCGTTTTGTGCAAAGAACGCACGTGAATTTATCCGTTAGGTAGTTGCTACTTTGCATTCCGGTCACAGGTTACGTAAAACGTCCGTCTATCAACGGGTAAGTATTGTGACCGTCAGCTGCACCAAAGCGCGCTATTCAACTTCTCGTTTGTTGACTAAACTTTAAGAATTAAACAATTGTGAGCGATAAACGTTTACAACACCCTTTGGTCTAATAAATACCCCATGCGCCTTAATTCCACTCGATAATGACTAAAGATTGAAAGCTGAATCTTAAACAATTGCCGATTTTGACCAGAACTTAGTGGAAAATATCCAGTGCTTCATCTCGCACTGGTAACATTGAGAAGGTCTACGGAATGATAACAAAACGCTTAGTTTGCAGCCGCGAAATCCCACCCAAAACCCATTATCAAGTGGATAGAATAAACAACTGAATAAAACAATGTTCCGAGGGATCAAAGACGCGTCAGGTAAACCAACGTTCATGCTTCAACATCAAGCGCAATATTATTGCTCTTTTCGTTGTACTTTGAAACAACCGGTATGGCTACTACGAAAAGGGAATGCTGGATTCATATTTGTGTTTTGTTTGAGTGTTTGAACAAATTTTCACCCCAGAATTGTTTCGTGTAGTCTACCTCGCACCGGACAGTAATTAGAAATACGTTGCAATTAAAGCGCTTCAATGTAAACGCAGAAAACACAGGTTATTTCAAAATGGTCGGACTGGAAGTTCTCGTTGTTAACCCTGAGGCCTATTCTGAAGCGCTTAAATTCGGTGTAAGTCCCAATCCATGGACCATTATTAAATACCTACTTAACAATGCAAATTAATTGTGGTGTAATAATGACCTTTGCACCAGATTGGTCACGTCATCATGGGATCTTCAATAGAACCTTACACCATCATTGGGTTTGGAATCTCTGCTCGGATTTGGAGACTGAGCGCAATTACGCGTCTGAATGTGCAAATGCCAGCCAAATAGCACCGTTTTCAACAAGCAATAGGCAGTTAGATGCCAGTGTTGGTCCAGCTTCCCATAGAGGAAAACAAGCGGGCTTCCTTATTTAGTCCATCGAATCTCATATACCGATATAACACAATTGCACCGGCTATTATTCTGAAGCTTCATGAACTCTCCCGGAGGTCGTCTTATTCTTTTGCACGAAGAGCCAATCAAAATATGGTGAAGTAAAGTGAAAACTGCACGACTTACTTCCTGGATCAAGATAAACTTTAAACAGTGATTATCGAACTTATAAGTTGTTTACAAGTGAACGCACACATTGTTTAGCTCATCCTACTTTCATTATTACTGTTATTTATGTGTTTTACTAACTTAGTCATTTTTTATGTAATAAAATCAAATTCTTCAACTGATTAGCATCACCTTTGGAATATTGAGTCGTAGGGAATTATTGTAAAGAAATCGTGCTTCTTAACTTCTGACATTTTTGTGCAACAATTTACTTAATCAAATCTGTGGAATCCTTAAGCTGGGCATTCACCAAAGTCTATGTTGCCATTCCAGTGGATTTCGCATAGAAACTGCTTTGCGTTGGTAAATAAGGGACGAATTAACTGTCATTGATCCAATCAGCTATTATTTTTCCTCCGAAAATGAACTGATAGACTCAGTTATTTATTCAATATCCAGGCACAATACTTCTAGTTTTTCAGCGTTGAATCGATACTTGGCGATTTGCATCCATTGTCTGTTTTTAAACCGGAATTGTCAGATTTAATCGCAATTCATCAGCTCCGTTTATGTGCGTCTATGTACACTTAATTTCCCTGGCAACACATTGCACTCGATTGTAAATTTGACAAAGTGCCGTTCGACAAAACACTCGACAGACTACCCCAGTACTTACCTAACAAAGAGACGCCCACTCCGATGAAGTATTGCCATGGGGCGAATTCCCAGTTGATCGGTTCTGCTGAAGTGACAACGCTGGTGAATAGAAATGCCGGCCAATAGAAGATCAGATTGAAAAGACCTGAGGAACGGTTGACGAAAGATCGGGGGAGGAATAAAGAAATGAGCAATTGTATCCGATTCTGGGATACCGAGAAATTTATCGAATTTCTGTTACTACATCCAGGGATATTGTAAAATGTTTGTTATAAAGTCAAGTGAGAGGGTCATAAATCGGAAATATATGATGGCAAAGCCCACTGAAAACAAGCATAGAACAGGACCCCGAAAAAGATCTTTACATGTTTTATTAATACTTGTGCAAGGGATGTTTTCTTTACTTCCACTACAGTTGTTAACTCGGAAACTGACCCCATGTGTGTGGGAGAAATATTTATTCATAAACCATTCTATGCAAAAATAGGAATCTTCGTGAACTGGAAGATTCTCACGTTCTCTGCCGCATAAAGTTCATATCAACATAAATGTTTCTGTATTAATGTACGAAAATATTTCTATGAAAGCAAATTTTTATCATTCAGAAAGTTTTTCTGGAACATCGATAAGCTGCAATAACCCAGTAAGCATAACTATTATATTACTAAATGAAGTAAAACATTATGTTATTACAAATTCCTTATAATAACACTTTGTAAGTAAAAGGTAACAATGGCTGAGGCAGGAGTTTCGGGAGTATGTAAATCTCAATACCATAATAACATCCCGCCTGCAATTCTCAACGGTCGTTCTTTTCCATAATGTGAAGGTGTTGAGTGAATAGATTGCAGTTTTGAGATAAATTCACATATTGTGTCAAACGCAAAAATGGACCGTTTATCATTTGTTACCCCTGTACTTTATTTTTGTGGTTATGGGTACGTAACTGAAAATTTATAATCGGCACGTACTTCTCAAAACACACTCGTAAAGGAGTGGGAAAGCCTGTCAAGCAGTGTGATAATTGCCATAACCTTGTCATTGGTATGCTCTGAATACAAAGTAAGTTATTTAGGGCGCATTTCAAACTCTGAGACTCGAGAATGACAAATATATCTAAAGTATTGGCTATTGCAATGTTTGGTTCCATGCTTGGTACACGAAAAGAGAAACACTGATCAGTTTATAGGTAGCATGTTAACAAATGTTGCACATCGACGGTATTATTACTAATTTTATGAAGCCAAATTGGATTAGACAATGTACGACGTATTGATGTCATCAGTTCAACCACTAGAAACCCACTTTATACCTCTCGTTGACGCTAAAATCAATACACATTATGAATACCGTTGTGACAGTTATTAAAGATCCAATATTTCGCTGTGAAACAAAAGTTTTTGTCAACAACGAGCTTTCAACAATTAGCCAACATATGAATTCCGTTTTCTTAGGTGTCTGGCCCTAAGTGTCAAACGTCCACCCGCGTTTTCTTTAGGAATAGTAAAATTTTGACTTAAGGTTTAAAAACTTCATCCAAAGTGTATTTAACTGGGTATTGAGCGGTGGCTAAGACAATGCGAGGCTTTGCTAAATTTATCCACACAGACCCACGAGGTTGGTGCTAGCCAATACGAGATGAGCAAACCGGATAGGTGAAGATGCACCGGAACAGTCTGGAATTGGGCCTACGGTCCTACAGTGTGTACAGTCCTGACCATGGCAGCCCGGATGTCTACCATCTGAGGGTATTCATTGATGCAGACATTGAAATATGTTTTTTAGGAATACATTTTTGATGGAAACATTTTGAAACAGTCTCTATTCAAGTGGGAGTATAAGTGGCAGAATAGTTGAACAATGAATAAATATATTTCTGGGAATTCATCGGAAACACATTGTACGATGCCGCTCCAAACAATGGTAAATTAAAAAAAACTACTATTGAAGTATAAAATGGCCATTCAATATATTGTCACACACTCGTGGGATAAGTATCTCAATGTAATTGTGCAGTTTGTGAATCCGGGATTTGATGAAAAAATGATACTGGTGAACGTGGAAAATCTACACAAATGCACAGTGTCGTCGTTTGCTCCTTTGAATAATTGGCACAGAAGAACATCTCTCTTTCCACCGGTAATGCGATCAGTCTCCTGGAATCAACATAAGGTCAAAAGAAGGTCTCGATGTATTTTTTAACTACGAATGATAATCCGAATATAAAGATTGTAAGACCGCACCCATTTAGAAGAGCACTGTCCCATGGGTTTATATGAGGGTATTCTTTCTCAGCTGGTAAGGTTGCTTATTCCACAGTCAACGGCTTTATTTTTCACGATAATTGGGCATTTTGGGTACACATTTCACCTTTGCGTGTTAGTACCACACTGATTACCTTGTTTGTAAAAATCCCTTAATGAGATAAACATGTTCTTCTTTGTAGCACTGGATACATAATTATCTTTGGGTGTGTGTAGGATGTGAGGGGTAAACTGTTTTCCTCTTTTAGTGAATGGGTGCACTTACTGAATCCAAAATAGAAAGCGGAAAATTGCCCAAACGTTGGCCTGCTGATAATCTTTTTGAGAATTACCTGTTAATGGGGAATAAAATACTGGCATTCGATGGGAGTGGTCAATTACCCAATGAAAAAAGGCATGTACACGTTAGGAAAGGTAATACTTGCAAGATATAAAATGCATTTCACTTTATAGTCCTAATGAGACTTTTAAAAAAAGGGAGTTGCTGAAGCATTACGGGGAAGTAAGTACAAAATTAATGAATACAACGATAAAGCTCTTTTGAGCATTATTTATAAATTGTCTGTTTTCTTATGTACAAAATGCGTGTTGATCGAGTGTCCAATCCCTGAAACATTAGCAATAGCTGGGCCTGCGAAATCTCCACTATCTATTTGTATATCAGCGTGGATGGTGTTATTGGGCTATTCAAGCTAACTAAATCGACATTCAAAATCCGTAATTAACACTCGAAATGACAAACAATCATATATGAGGTCAATAAAAGCATCCTATTTTTGTCATTACACCAGATGTTTGGTGACCGATGGAACATAAACCTCAGCTTGGTTGTACTGAATGTAGATGTCACTCCTACTGATTAGACGCAAATAACCCACTTAACCGCAGCACGTCCCTTGAACAGAAAATTGATAACGAAACATTCCTCTCTAATTCGCGTATTTGTCTCAGTTGTTATGGCCAGTCCAGTTACAATTTTAGAGATAATCATTTTCCGAACAAGTTTGCCTCATCAGTTCCCGTTGGTCTTTAAAAATATTTTATGAACAGATGCACCTTATTCATCGTCGCTCACGAGGTTACAATTGTGATATATTGGGATGAAAAGATGAAAACTTTGGTAATGGGCAATCTACTTCTCTGTTAGTGTTCTACGAGACATAACCATCAGGATAAGTGATCTACTTCAGTTTCTTGGTGCATTTCTTTGACGAAGTTCTCGCGTTAAATTATGACTTGATATTAAGGTATCCGTTTTGTCAAAAATAAAGAAATGTTTCTGAATGCAATATCTTACCATCGTTCCCTTTTTCATTCGACTTTACTGAGTATTGTTTCACACGAGTGTAATTTTAATTTCTTGAGAACGAATTAACTAAAAATGTGGATATACTGCTTGCAGAGTTCATTGATTATTCTGATTTATTTTTAGGTAACAATTCAATGATGCAAGATAGATTACTAGGAGTGTTGCGAAACTCACAAAGTTTTTTGGGAAGTATCTGTTTTTATTAGAAGCGGAGAGTGACCTCTTTAATGTATACGAACCCAGGTCTCCCTCACCCATCCCTATCCACAGATTTATGTACTACTTTGGAAGCAATGTATCATTCGAACAGTTATCCACATCCTGAATAAAAAACGACGATCACTTACAATGAAGAGTGACAGCGCTACGACGGCGATACTGGCCAGACATTTGTGCCACATGAGCTCCTGATCACTGTAAATATTCAGTATTACTCCACTGGAGCCCATTATAAAGGCAATAACCTGTAGTATTTGGGGATATGGGGATTCAATCAGAAGAAGACAAAACGATCTATATTAAAATGTGGTTTCGGTAACATGTTCAAGACTAAATGCTCACTAAATATCATCGATATAACAAAATTGTCTCACAATATTTCAGGATAAGTTGGAAGCCCATCGAAAGCACTCACAAGAGGGAAAAAGAGAAAGAGCAAAACTTTGATTAGTCAATGAGATTGTTCCAAGTTGAGCAAATCATTTGTCGAGAAACACTTCACCGAAATGCCACATAACAAATGTAAAATCATATAATGCGTGTGATAGTCAGATCATGAGTTGCACAATGGACATGAAGTTAAAGAAAAGAGTATGAGAAAACATTTTAAAATAATGAAATCACATGCCCTGGAATAGTGAAATCGTCTAGCGTATGGTGAATGTCAAATTTATCTCTGAATCAGTGACATATAAATTGCAGAATTTTCAACCGTGTTTATCACTGCTGTATTTCGTTTCCAACAGTTTTTAAGAAAGTTTGCAGATTACCAATAGTAAAAAAAGAATTCCATCTGCGGTTACTTTTCCGTTCACCTATTGACAAACTGCACTCCAACTTGCGTTCGAGTTAGTGCTGCGTTTTCCACTAAAATAACCTGAAATTGTCTTCATCGTTTATGGTTGGAAACGTATCCTGTAAAAAACGTATTGATTGGTTACTCTATTGGTTTTAATTTTTTTCACTTTAGCCATTTAATCACTACCAAACGCCGAGTTTAATACCAGTTCATAGTTTTCCTTGCTAACGATTGCAGTGTATAATTGACGTTTGGTAATTTATCGATGCCTTACATGATATAAACTGGAGTGCTTGCGATTTCTATCGAAAGCAGAAAATCAGTTCTTCCATTGGATCCAAGGAACGCCAAACAGTTTGAAACAGCCGCCTAGTTATTCCCAGCAATTCAAATCGTGCTTCATACACACTGGGAATTCATCTTATAACGTGAAACGGTTAACAGAAGGTCGGTGGTCAATGTTTTTCTGCCTTCTGGAAATATTCATCACCAAGAAAACCAATGAACACAAGGCCGTTCGATTTGAAATACCTTAGCTAGACATGCTACCACAACTTAATATCCCTTTGGATATAAAGGGCCTATTTTGCCCTACTCCAAACAGTGTTTTGCCTAAGTTATAGCAGCACTGAATAGGGCTATGGGTCAACACAGTCACTGCTACGAGTATGTCACACTAACAGCAAAAGACTGATGATCAATAAAGCAAAGAGAGGGCCTGGTGAAGCACAATATTCGGTTAAATGGGAAAGAGATTTCATTCCCCGCTTCCACATGCAATACTAAACTAAGGGTTATGCCCCACTCCATTCATAAATTGATAAAAATGTTGCCTCCCGCGTTTCCAATTTTGGATGGTCGGCAAGCAATGTTTTAAACAACATTGTTCCAGGGTACACTCCACTATCCAGAATAATGTGAATCTGAATTGCAAGTGGTCCGGTCAAGTTTACTTGTCAAGTGATCCACAGTATAGCAATGCTTTGGTCCAGTATTAGTTTTGACGGCCACTAAAAATACGCGAGAGGATATAAGTTTATTTACAATAGATGAAGCCAGAGAAGACAGAGAGTTCTTTGAGATGAAGCATAGTTTTACGACAGTATCATCCAAGCGATCATAACTTTCTAGGACACAAAAACATAGAAATAACCAACAACATTTATAAATTTATTTGTTGCAATTGGCAAGGTAATGTGATCCATTTTGTGAACGGAACCATATTTCGGGTCATTCTGAGGTCACATTGTGGGTTGAAAAATATTTCGCTTAGGCTCTAACTAGTTAAAAGTACACGAATTTCCGGTAGCCGGAAGCAGAAGCAGAGAAATAGAACCCAATTAAAAAATCCAAAGTCAACCATTTGACCCACTCATTGTAACGGACAGTTTCTGAACAATACTTTTTTAATCCAAAAAGCTATAAAGAAATGTATTGTTTCATCTGCGTAGGAATGCCCGTTTATTTTTGTTTGTAACATTAACTGGATAACTGGCTACAACGATCTGTTGCGGATGTATTGCTATCTGTTTCGTAATAGTGACTGACTGCAAATAATGCTCCAGTATTCTGCTTAGGAATGCGAGCTGCTAGATGATGGTTGTTGCGCCCTAAACCAGTATCGCCAATTGTGATTCGGATAGAGAGATGTTTCGCAGTGATCTGTTCTATCAGTAACAGTCTCGGAATTAGCGACGCACAGTCTCCTTGAAGACGTCGCTTTGTTTGCTTTGTGTTTTCCCACCCCCATATTCACTGGTCTTTTCAAAGGTTTTCAGACCTGTTTCATTTCTTTATGGACAAAACCTTCTCTACGGTATGCATTTCCAAAATGTTTCACTCAGTTTTCCCATCCATGTTCTGTAGCCTCATTGGTTTTCAAAAAATATACATGTTCGACCCACAGCAGGTTAGGCCATTTAGTAATCAACTAATATTCAAACTATAAATTTAAATTTCTAAAGATCTATGTCAAGCAGAAACTGCAATATTGGCAACAGGTAATAAAGCGAGCGAAGAATGCGCCAAATTAGGAAGTGAAATCGTTGAATTTAGTAGTAATTCTCTCTAATCTCTGGACTTTTTTCTCATATAACACTTGCCATCAGATATCGGGTTAGATACTTATGTTCGTTTTGATTTTAACTCGGTGGCAGTAGTTCGCGTTACGCTATAAATGTTAATCATGTTTTCCACTGAGACCTGATCTACATTTGGGTCAGTGCAAACAATGAATTCATAGTCACTATCTCCTATGGTCAGGCTATCAGTTTGAAAGATGGAGTCTCATGTTGCGACAAATATCTGGAGGGATTTTATGCTGATTTAAGGTTCTGTTTTCACAACGAACAATTTATGGGAAGCATTGTATGTTATTGCCCATTGTGGGGTATAGTTGTGCTAATCACCGTTCGGGTTCGACTGTTTTACTTGCATTTAATCTGTTTCTTTTCTTTTTTCATTTTTACTTATTTTTATCGAATACACAATTTTCAGGAAGGGGAAAGTGACCAATCAAAGGGCTATCATGAAACATTCTATGGGGGAAGTTGATGGGATTCATACCCGCGTCCTCCAGAGTGATAATTAGGCGACGTTTTCACCGGGTTACCACCACCCACAATTCCTTTCTGGATATTTTCTACTCCAGATACCAATTTTTACCCATGTTTTGTTGCAACTGCGTTTTTAAGATATATTTACATGAAGGTATTTTATTTGCCAGCAATGCGCATGATCGTTTTCACATTTGATTACGAAAGACTGGTCATCTAGTAAAGTATTTCCACTCGCCTCTGTACCAATATTTGTACTCAGTGTGTAAACATTTATTCATATATTCTCTGTTCTTAACCAAGGAAAATTTCAACTGTGATTCACTATTTATTTTGTCTAATGTATGTCTGTTGTCAATTCAACGTTCATTACCAGCGTCATGAGAAGTGAGGGTCAATTTGCTGAGCGTACAATGAAACCCTAGCTAGTTTTCAGTTAAGTATTGGTAAGGAAAGTATATCTCAATTGTTATGCTGTCAAACAAGAATGTTTCACTTGAAGGATTAGTCAGTTTATTCATCTACAAACGCAGTTTGAGGAGAAATGACTTTGCTTAACGGTTAAAGTATCAGCCTCACCCTTTTCAAAATAACCTTTCAAGTGCTTGTTTACGGTTGTTTACTAGCGTCCGCACAACGATCTCGAAAAACAATTTTAGATCCGGTTGTTTGACAAAGTTCATCCAGTTTGCATATAGTTTGTTTTCCCTCAAAACGGTTATCACGAAATCTCTTCTATTTTGCAGCTCCAGAGCTAAGTAGTTACCTACATAAATCATTTTATTTAGAACTATATGGTGAGAGAAATACAGAGTTTGAATGGAATACGTGAACTGTTTTTCTTGTAAAGGGCACATAATGCATTAACTTGAAGCAATATACAAATCGCCCAATTGAGTTGGAGTTTATTAGTTACGATAACAATTACTGACATAGGTTCGATAAACATATAAAGTTGATGCCCAAGTCTCCACACGCCCGTGGTTATCGATGTTAACTGAAAGCAGTTCGGTGAGAGCATTGTATGCACAAAAGAAGTGAGCGCACAGACAGATTGAACCTATCTATCAGTGAGTACGTAATACTTTAATGCCACCGAAATTAGTCACGTAAATTCGTTCATATAGGATGCTAATCATGCGTTGATAGGTTTACGTGAAATCGCTAATCTCTTCGTATTTCGCGTCAAAACCATCTGATAGTCCAAAATGGTACCAAACAATGCCGAAAATTTCACAGACGAAGGTTTTCAAAGGAATTCTGTTGTAGTGTATCTTATGACGCATTCATTCAATTGATTGAATGACGGTTTTCGTGATAGACCAGGGAATGGAATACTAAGCCGTTTTGCTAGGGATTAGGTGATATAGAAAGTACATAATATGAAAAATTCATAAGGGAATCATATAAATCATAAGAAATTCAACATTAATGCCATATGCACCCAATCAACGCAATAGGTTCACTATGCTTCGGTTTCATCGAACTCTACTCGTGAAAAACAGCGGTACAGTATTCAATATACGTCACCGTATTTCCACCTACAGTGAAACGACGTTACCAATTTTGCCGATAATGATATTTGAGCGATTAGGGATCATGTGTTGGGTGCTGGTGGATCCTAAAACAATCTATCACTTTACACACCTCGCATACCAATTAGTGGATTGCATATGCCTGTGCAGGTAGAGTTGACATCAAAAACCTGCACTCCATGTGACCTTATATTTCGATTTGTTACACAGTTATATTTGGCATCATTTTGTATTTCACCGTCGCTATTGGGACCTTTGATTTATCATATGATTATTATGATT